TCAATTGTCCATGTCTTGAGATTGCATCAATGAGCAATAAAGGGTATTGATCACTCTGTGTGTTTATACACACGTAAATGGAATAATAAATTAAAGAACGCTCGACAGAAAACCCAAAATTTCTACGTTCTGTACCCAGTGAATTGCCCATGGAAAGTGGAATTGGTTGAGTTTCACACCAAGTTTCTTTTTCAACCGTTCATGATAAACGTCTTCATCATGGTTCGGCATCGCGTTTCTGAAGTTTTTTGAAGGGTGTGAGTTGAATTGAAAACCAAAGAGTAATGGTGAATCCGTTTTCTTTTCCTATTACGCGTAAATCAATAGGAAATCGTGATTTTCTTGAATTATATCTAGTTTAAATAATTGACCTGCACGGTCTAGTCCTAAGAAAAAAAACTTATTGATTGGATGCCGGTATATATTGAGCTTACGAGAGGTTATTTTTAGCTTTCTTGTAGCCTACATTATTTCTCGTTACGATTCACAAGGAAAAGTACAATATTGATTCCTACACGAGGAAGTAGCATAGATACGCGAGACAATAAAGATATGTCCAAATTCTATTTAAGCCACCTTGGTAGCTAGAATATACGCACACACGTGTCAAGTTGAATTAATCATTTCACTGGCGTTATCAGTGAGACCTGTCTGCGCCCGAGTTTTCCCACTCTAAAAAATGGTTAGACTTCCATTTGAGGTCAAGGACACAGCACAGTCCGTTACCAACTTGAGAAAATTCGGGTCAAATAAACAAGTCATTATTTTGTTTTGCCTCTTTTTAGGGCAATTTTCTTTTCTAAAAGTAGGTATTACTTTCTCTTCAATCGAAATTACTCAATGATACTCGAAGCAGCAGTCTATCAGAAGTAAAAAAACCAGTTACGACTCACCACTATATGAAACAAAAAAAATAGATCCTAAGACTTAAGTTGAAGATATTAAAGTGATTTTTGCCGTTTTCGATAAATTTATCGTTAGCTAGATTTAACATAATGCGATCATAAGAAAAGAGATTCAGTTCAATTTTAACCTTAATGATTTTTCCTCTCTTTGCGTTATCAAAAGAATTGCAAAGTCTAGCAGTTTAATTGAAGCATCATCGTCGCGAGTTGTAAGATACCTCTTTAAAGTCTTCATTAAGCTAAATTAGCAATGCAATGTTAAATGCAGTGAACTTGTGACCAGTTGAACTGGATGCCTACAAGTTATAGCCAATTTACATTTCTTTGATTAGGCCTTAAGTACTCAAATGAATTACGTTAAACTTCAAGAGAGGGAAATAATAAAGAACTTACAGCAATTAAAAACGGATTTTCGGTTTAGTAAGTTTACATGCATGATTACATGGGCACCGATCTTTCATGCCTAACACCAAGTCATTTTAAGCCAAAGTTTTAGGTAAAATTGAAGCAGCGATTCTCTTGTACTTTTTTTTCATGAGATTCGAACGATGCCTTCCTGACGTTTCATTACCGCACAGCAGACGATGTCGAGGGCTCGCGGGGCGCGCATCATTCGGAGTGCCAAGAAAGCAAACGCGCCTTCATAATTTTACGTATGCAATACGGTCAACCACAGAGCACGAATAATTGTATCTAGGATTCTAGGAGTCGCGTTGCTTTTAACAGTCTTAACTTCGCGCTCGCGCTTTTTGTCCTTTGTTTTTTTAGCTAGATCGTTAAATGGATCGTAAAAATATTGCTCAAAAATCCATAACTAACTTTTGAGACAAAATCGTGTTGGAATGAGCTGTTTCTCTCTGTATTGAGATTTTCAGTTTACTAAATTGTAAGGCACATTGGCTGAATTTCCAACACTATGTCTAACTCGAGGCAGGTTGAGTCCTACACTAAAAAAATTTGGTCATATGAACCGAAAGCTCGGTGTTCCATATCATCCTAACACTGAACTGGTTTGTCAAACTGAACTTTCAGTTCGTGTAACCGAGCGTTCGGCATGTATGACCAAACTTTGATCGTCATTCCACTTTACCGCACAAGTTCGGTTATATACACGAACCGAAAACTCGGTTTGGAAAACCGAAAACTCAGTTTGGAAAACCGAAAACTCAGTTTGACGAACCGAAAATTCAGTTTGACGGATCGAAAACTCGGTTTGACTAACCGAAAACTCAGTATGACGAACCGAAAGCTCACTTTGACGAACCGAAAACTCAGTTTGACGAACCGAGTTACTTGAGATGATATGGAATAACACCGAACTTTGATACATACGACCGAACTTCTTTTTCAGTGATCTCTTCAAATCGATCTAAACGCGTTAAATATCGTAGCGGCGGCAACACCCCACCGATCCAGCTAATAGAAGTGTCAAGCCGGACATTTGGGGCATGGCGATCTTGCCGGAGTCTCGGGCGCAGATCGCGACGTTCTCCATAGCCCCCCCCTCTCTTCTCCTCCCTCCCCTTTCTCCCTCACCCCTCCAAGTCCAACTCAGTTGGTCTCCAAAATACCCTAAATCCCCGCCTTCGAGGGTCCATGAGTTCCCTCGTGAAGTGATTCAATAACAAGGAATTAAGTTGGCGTCCCATTCATCAAATTACCCCTCCTCCCCCCTCGGCCCGTGTCGTGGGGAGGGGGCACTCCGTGTCCTTACTCTAATCCGTCATATTATATTGCTCCTTTTTCGATTCGTGTTAACTCTTTCTTTCCCCCCGCACCCCGCTCCTTGACAAATCTGATACTAATAAACATGATATTTGTCTTTGAGTCTCACTCCTGATGTCGTCCCGGCTCTGCGGGTTTCCCGTTTCTTAATTGAAACGTACGCCGATGAGCCTTCTGTGATTTCGACGTGAAGGGTAGTTCCGCGCAGTGGGGAGTTGTATAGGTACTGACCGCGACTCAAAAGTTGGGCGGGCTCAATACCGTGACCAAAGTGCAAAACCACGTACCTCCATAGACTGATTAAGGGACTACGTTATTTGATATAATATCGAACTCTTGGTTCAAACCAAAACAAACTAGCATAACCTCATGTACGAATTCTTAGTGAGTTAATTGTGCTCATTTACTATAAAATTTACCATTGACCCCAGTGGCGTGGCGTCCTTTGCGATATATCGATTGATACGTCACTCAAACCTATGAAAAAAGATCGATTATCAGGGTGTTCGCAGCTAACACCTTAGTAATCGATTCTTTACCATAGCTTCAAATGGCAAGATATCGATAATCGATCATTCACGCCACGCCACTGACCGGTCATAAATCAATGAAGGAGTCATTAAAAGCGAGACAATTTGATTGTAAGAAACACTTGACATAATATACACATGAATATTTGGGACGGAAAACAATATTTTCATTCTTAATTAATAGATTTATGCTTATAAAAACAAAAGATGGAAAAACACACTTTTTCCTATACTTACAACCCGTGTAACCAATTTATGAATAACATCAAAAGAATACTGCCGATTCAAGATCGAGAGGGGTTAAAAAAAAACGACAAACTATATTCGTATCAGTCAAGACATCCTATAGGTATGGAGCGGGCATAAATGACATCGGGTTTTTTCCTTACATTTGTCCCCGCCCCCACCCCACTTTGAGTTACCTCTCCCCCTTCTATTATTGATCTCAGAAGTTTGTCAGGCATTTCTAGACTCCCCTCATCCCACCAAGTTCCCAACTTCATTTATAGACGGCCCCTTACAAGAAGCTTTAAATTGGCTAACTTTTCTACTCGAGCGTTAAAGTCTCTGAAGTATCGACATAGAAGTAGACTTTTCCCTTCATTCTAAATAGACGAGAGGTATAATTTCATGTGTATAATATCTACAGTCGTGTACGTAGTAGGCAAGAAGGCTCGCACACCCTCACGGAGTTTATAAATTGCTGCGTCATCGGTTAAACTTTTACCCTGACATGCAAAGTTGAAGCTCTTATTCCCATTAAGAGCGCGGCCTTCATGAGAGGGAGGTTTGAATTCACGCATCAAGAAATATTAAATTTCTTGGTTAGGAGTAAATTTCAATAATTTTCGTTCCACGAATTGTGTCCTATGTAAACTGTTGGTGACGAAACATGCACTGAGAAAAAATCCTCGGTCTCCTGAACCGATTGTATGCTGTTCAATATCGGCCATATTGTTCGGTTCATGCGACCGCTCTCTTTGGTTCTAGGAACCGTATCCTCGGTACATGTATCTGAGCACTCAAACCGAACAGAACTAACGAAAAAAGATCGGTTGTATGAACCGAGAATCCGGTTCCAAGAATTAAGGGAGCAGTCGCATGAGCTGAACAATACGGCATATATCTCGTACATTCGGTTCGTATGACCGAACTTTTTCTCTCAGTGCAGTGGAAAAAAAACACATTGGATCTAGAGTCCAGACTCTTGAAATCATTGACAAGAAAAAATACTCTTGATTCAATCAGATTTAAGCTTAAGTCAGAAGGAAATCCGCTCAAATTAAGAGGCTTGGTTCTTGATTTAAGCAAAAATCCGATTGAATCAAGAGTATTTTTTCTTGTCGATGTTTTTAAGAGCCTGGACTCTAGATCCGATGTGTTTTTTTCCAGTGTGCACGGAGAAAAAAAACCTCGTGCGTGGGACCCGAAATTTAGGTCACATCTCTGAAGTTTTCGGATTGAGCATCTGAACACTTTAGGTCCAGCTGCTGAGGTTTGGATCACACATCTGAAACTTCAGTTCTTACATCTGAAGTACTTCGGTTTTCACATCCTAACAACTTCGGTTCTCACATCCGAAAAACTTCGGTTCTCACATCTGAAGTACTTCAGATGTAAGAACTGGAGTTTCAAATGTGCGATCCGAACCTCGACAGCTAGACTTAAAGTGTTCAGATGCTCAATCCGAAAACTTCAGAGATCCATATGACCTAAACTTCGGGTCCCACGCACGAGGTTCTTTTCTCCGTGTGTGTGTCAGAATGCTGAACTTCGCATCTTGTCAATATTGGTCCACTTGAAAACTCCGGTCTAACCCTCACCGACCTTTCTGTTCCAGCTCCGAAACCGCCGCCAAACCCGGAGTTCCAATCGATGGGGAACCTGGCCCCGGGTCCGATGGGGGCCTCGACGGGGGGCCTCGGTGGGTCCAACGTGCTCATGTCCCCGAGCTACATGGCCCCGAGCGGGAACGGGCAGGGCTCGCCGCTGGCCGGCACCGGGCTCCACAACCTCCTCAACAACTCCGGGCGGACCAACTTCACCAACAAGCAGCTCACCGAGCTCGAGAAGGAGTTCCACTTCAACAAATACCTGACCCGGGCGAGGCGGATCGAGATCGCCTCCGCGCTCCAGCTCAACGAGACCCAGGTCAAGATCTGGTTCCAGAACCGGAGGATGAAGCAGAAGAAGCGGATGAAGGAGGGACTGGTGCCGCAGGAGATCATATCCAACTCCCTGGGAAGTAGTCATCTCAGCACTAGTAGTAGTACGAGTAACTCCCCGACCGGGCAGATTTTGAATCATCATAATGAGGACAGCACCGAGTCCTGAAACCGTTACTTTTAAGTTCGTAATGAGGTGAAACTAAGGTATAATCTTCCCAAAGCAAATGGACTGAGAAAAATCTATGGCTTATAAATGTCGCAGGCAAATGGCAATCGCCGGCAATTTGCAAGCCAGTGGTGAATAAATATAGAAAATCATAAAATTCAAACATGAAAGAACAAGATTAGAGTGCTGATTATGTTGCCTATAATGTAAATAAACACTTTTTCATCCTGAAAAGCATGGCAGAAATATGCACACTCGAAGAGAGTGCAGTGAACTCTGTGACATTAGTTGGGTCGAGATCGGGCAGGCAACTAAACTAACGTCGTGATTTGTCATGAGTCACTTTACGCTTTGGCGTAAAGTATCACGAAAAATGAAGGCGCTTCAAGCCGAGCTTATACTTTTGAAGGCCACAACCTTTATGATTTGCACTATGCCGATGCGCATTATTGCGATTTATTGAAACAATGTGCGAACCGCTTGCGAATTGCCGGCGATTGCTAATTGCCTGCGACGTAAACAAGAGACAAGAGATCCTCCATTGGTATCATGGCAATAGTGAAAGCTTTAACTTTCGGAACTCCAGCATTCAACGACGGCTGACTTATCTACTCGGTCGATGGTTAACAACGTGTTGCGAACAAACTGAAATTTGGGAAACTGGTTTGGCTCATGACGCCAACCGAAGCTCATGAGCCACCAAGTAGGGAGGTTGACAGCCGAAAAAAGGGTGATGACTGTTGCTCCTTCATAATTTATTGTCCAAAATTGTCCATATTGTCACATTTTGAGCCGTTATGTGATCATAAGGAAATGAAACCGTACAGAAACAACGTAAAAATTAATTACAGTACACTGCCCGACTGCCGAGCTAAGTTAAAACACCTGGAAGAGGATACCTATGTTTCACTCATCCGTTGACTATTCAAATGTCGTGTTACCCACCTGAGGGAGAGGAGATCTCAGTTCTCATTACTATGCGGCGAATAAGATAGGGCTCAAATTATTAAAAGGTGCGGTAAACAAGACGGGTCGGATTCGTTAATATCCAAAAAAAACTTTTCAGTCATTCATGCAAAAAAAGTTGGATTTCATAAAACTGATTTGTTAGTAGATTGGAACCAAATCATGGCAAGATCAGGTTTATCTCTTCATTACTTTCCAAAAACCAAGAGCTTTCGTTAAAAGTAAAAAACTTACTGAGGTAAGTTAGGTCGTGCACTAATATTCATATGATATTTGCAGCAAAAATGAGGATTTTATTCACTATACTGCGATGTTTGATAGGTTATTCGTGTTAATCTCAAAATGTGTTGCGTGAAAGTTACCGTCCAAACGTTACAGTCTGCCAGACTACACCCTAGTACGTGGTAATGATGTTTACCTGAAATATATCGTCAGATTAAATTTGGTTACATTTTTTTTCTTTCCAATTATTTTGCTTGCATTGACATTTTAACTCCCCTGGTGTCTTGTAAAATGTCCTGATTTTAATGTCATAACGGTTTGTGACTCTCCTGCTCCCGTCTCTCCACTTCAATTCAAATTTTACTTATTCCTTTAAATTATCTATAATTACATAAATTAAACGACCATAATTTTCAAGTGAGAATGGAAAATAATTCGAAAAAATTATACTTATATATCCATTTACAGTTTTTAGTTTTTCACGCAGCTCCAAATTGTCTATTGCCTTGATGTTTGATCCCAACATTTTTTCACATTTAACCGGCATTTTTAAGCGTTTTTCATATAAAACGTTAGAATTTTGGCTATAAATTTGCTAATTTTTTAAAAATAGAATACAATTTTCAGGAAAAAATGAACCTCTGTAAGAACGCATACAGTAAAGAAAGATGTGGAATTTTGTAAGTTCCAATACTGTGAACAGATACTTTGGAATGCGAGTGTATTTTATTTTATGAAGAGTCGAAGATAGTTTTATCCTTGGTTGACCTCATAATTTGTGATATTTATATTACGTTACTTTCCGTGTATATAAAATTTCGATTGTAAATATTTGTAGATTCTTAAATCCTCCCTAGTCTTCAGAATAATTATAAATTGTAAAAGCCGAATCGTATCAAATGAAATGTGTATATCCAAGTTGTTTTCTACCCAATGGACCTCAATCAAATAAGTATACAAAGCAGAATCGCCTACAGTCTTATTCGCTAAAATTGCATTTAGATTCAATATGTCAGTTTACAAAGGGTGTCACAAATGCACGGTTAAAAAATGAGGAGTTTTATTCGCTTAATTTTACTGAGAATAATAGATGGCCAATTTAGAATTAAGGCATTTTTCAATGATAGCAAACAAAATCTAAAGCGTATGTCACTCCTGTTTGGAGTGAATTCCATCCCTATCTCAGGAATGTCTGTATTTTATGGTCGTGAAGTCATAATCGGACAATGAGTCTATATGCTCTGAGTATTTTATAGATATTTACCATCGAGAACAAGTTAAAATGTGTAACTTAAATGAAGGTAAAATTAAAGCTGAGAGTATTATGAGTTCTAAAAGCTGGTAAACTTTACAGGAAGGACAGTATGCAAGCTGCAAACTATCAACGACCAATGGATTTTTTTAGTTTTTATCGAAATATCAGATGACTAATCCTAAGTTTGTAACTCCACTCCATAATGTTGTTGTAGTTTTACTCCAAGTAAACGGTGAGAAAAAAGAAATATTAATGACCCGATTCTGTTTATATCCATTCTTCAACAGGTAAGAAAGACAAATGTCAATAATTTTAAAAAACAAAAACCGGAAAAAGAAGTATTTGTTGACCGCCCCTTTTAAATTATTTCAGCACCCTCTTTCGCTTTGACCGCTCCCCAAAAATCTTGAAAGTGTACTGTTCAACATATTGATTGATCGAATATCGTTCAATGCTAAAGATGAAAACATGTTCCTATTTAGTTATAAAGAATAATTGGTAGTTTTAGTTTCCTTGTATAAATATAAATAATTTTAATGTCTACATATTTATGATAGAAACTTTTAATAATATATATTTGATTGTTTTAAAACGTTGGTATTTGATTTAATTTAGTGAAAAGCTACAAGAAAAACCATTTGAACTGTAATTATATGAATTAGAGGACAAGTAAATGTAAATTATCTCCTGGGTCGATTCTTGGTCTAAAAATCCTCTAATTTTTCCTAGAGTACCCTTCTAAGGAGAGTATTGCCACTTCGGTTACCATCTCTGATTGGCTCAGCCATGTTAGGCTGGATGGAGCCTCCTAGGGCCCAAAAATAGCGGATGCTGCAAATAAATGTAAATACAAAATAACTCAAAATGCTGTTTTATTTGCATACAGCAACGAGAAATTTCCTAAAATGCAATATTACGACGTATTTTCATAATTTAACGGATAATCGTCCACAATTTTTGAGAATAATTATCTGAGATGTAGTGAGGTTGGCAGTAAGTACGGTTGGTGATAACCGCCAAAAGCAGGCAATGATCCCCCTCCAATCCGCATAAACCAATACAAAGCACCGCCATTTTTGGGCCCTAAGCCCGTCCATGGGGCCAGAGCCTGGTGGTCCTACTCAGCCTATAAAGGTACTCTAGCCGATTCTTGGCTTGAATTTCCTCTACTTTTACCACAAAGCAACGATGGAGCAACCAGACACCAACAATCAACGATCCAGATACCGGCCATGGCACTTCGCCTGCTTGCGCGAATAATCGAATCATCCTCGCCGACCCGGGCGAGTACATCAACTCGAGTGCGCGCCACAACTAATAACCTCTGCCCGGCGGTGCTCCCACGCCCCCCCCCCCCCCCCCCCCCCCCNGCCCCCACTCCCTCAGGATTGAAAAGCGCCAACAGCGAGCGAGCCCCGAGCCGGTCGTCGGAATAAATATAAAAGTTTTTAGAGTGGCAGAGCACCGACGCACACTGGGTCGAGTCGTTAGGAGAGGTCGGACACAATTTGGACATTTTAAACGCTGTTAACTCCGATTATACAAAATTTTGAGGTTATGAAAGTTGTTCCGTTGATTTTCTCGTAAAATTTTCTTCCAGAAACACCCCTTGCAATTTAAAATGTGACGAAATAAACATAACAATTTGCAATTTTAGTAAAAAATTTGATGTCCGACCTTCCTGATTAACTCGAACCACTGTGCGGCGCAGTCAGACTACACACTCGCGGAAAAAGTTCCTCTCCTTCGCCTTTTTTCCCTGGTTTTCCTGGGCTCAGCTGAGAGCCCGGGACCGATCCATCATTGTTATCAAGAGCTGCCAGTCAGGCGTTGATCACCTCCCCACGACCCCAGCTCCGCATCCCCCGCCAAACGAAAAACCACATAACTACAATTCAAATCCTATACTCGGATACGTTGTTTTCGTTCCGGGCCTTCCCTCTCCTGGAGCAACCCCCCGCCCTCCCCCGAGGGTGCGCTGGAGCTCTGCCGGTCAGTCCTTCATATTCGCCACTCAAATATTTAACGTGTTATAATAATTAGCTGGCCGGAGGATGCGTCGAGTGCTTTTCCCGGGACTGGACATCTCACCCCCCCCCCCCCCCCCCCCNCCCTTTTGTGGCCGGTCTCAATTAAAGTTTTTATCGGAGCCCGCCAGGTGCCGCGGGCGGCGGGGATTAGTTTGTCCGCGGTGTGATGTATCTGTATCGTCCTTGCGGTTTTTCCGCGGGCTCTGCAAAAGTTGCGGGGCTCTAAGGCTGATTATGGTCATCGGGTGCTTTCCGAAGTTTTTACGCTGGTTTAAAATTTGTTTTAATTGAGCTATCCTCAGTGGGCAGGAAGTTGGAATTTTTTAGCCACGTGCGTTTGAAATCAGAAAACTGGAATCTCAATAGCAGAAAATTCTGGAGGCTGTGCTGCACTGATGATGGGTCCAATAAGACAAGAAACGCGTCCTGAATGGTTGCAACTAGTGTTGCACCAAACAGCGTATCTCTTTGAGAGAAAATTGTGCTCGGATGAGCTTTTTCCTTCTGTATTGAGATTCCAGTTTTCTGGTTCTTGACGCACGCACGTCGGCTGAAAAATTCCAACTTGCTGTCTTTGACGCCTCGTGCGTCCACCGCAATCAGTTTGTGATCCTTAATGGGGGCATATTTAAAATCAATGGCAGTTTCTATAGTATTTAAGAGGAGCAGTAGTCCCGAAAGAAATTTAAAGAAGAAATTGTATTTCGGAGGTGAACTAAACTGCGTTTATAACATACAAAATTACATACTTCTTTGGAGCTTATTTTTAATTCAATGTAGGATAATCATCCAGAATTTTAAAATATTATGTTGATTTTCTCTATCCACCTAATAATATTCTGTAAAATTTTGAGTAAAAATACAGGTGCAGTATTTCTCAAGAAGAGAAGAAATAAAAGTAATAATTTAGACGCCATAATATAAATGCAAATCGATGGCCAAAGTGCGAAACCACGGATCTTCGTTTGCGACGTTACAGGCTTCCTATAAAATACTTTCTTCTTGTTCTGGAAAATTAATCGACATAATTTCTTGAAAATTTCCTTGAATTTTCTTCTTTTCTTCTTTTCTTCTCTTCTCTTCAAAAATTTCTCTTTCAGTTTCAAGCTAAAAAGTTAGCTTGTTTCTCTTTCGAAAATTTCAACGCCCCGCAATTGAGATACGTGGTTTTGCACTTCGGCCATCGATATTTTTTTTTACTTCGACCATCGACCGGTACCATTTGACAACCCTGTTTGAATAAACGGTCGACGGACACGAGTTAAAAAGTTGGACAAGGAGCTGGCATTCATCGGTTCTCCTGACATGTGTACGCCTCGCGCCAGCGAGCATTCTTGAATAGTCCCCCTCGAGAACCCTCTCAGATTTCAGCTCCTCTGATTGGCCGCAGCCGCAATGAATAGAGATGCTACGCACGGATTGGACCCCTGACTCCAGAGCGGGCTATGCAAATCGGATGGCTTTCGAGAAGCTCTCGGGCTCGCATGGAGGGGGCCAAGAGGCTATAGAAAAACTGGTTTTCGTTTCAGTTTATGAAAGTTGGGCTAGAACATGTGTCCGCACTCGTGTGAGATGTTGTTCCATTAAACGAGACAAGCTCAGTGGCGATTTTTTAAGTTGGCAGCATTGTTTTCCCTCCATTTAAATCCATTGAAAATATCGAATTTAGGTGAGGCAAGCTGCCTCATCAAGAAT